ATCCATTTCAATCATTCAATTCTCTAACACTTCGAATATTATTTTATTTAATGTATTTGAAAAGATTATAAGCTTTTGCTGTCATGGAAAAATATTGAGAAATTTTATGTCACCAGATAGTGTTTGGTATCATATATCATAACATAGTAACGCTAATCAAATTAAGTGATACTGACGCACCTTTATATTTCAGTGAAATGCAAACGTGGGGTACGTTGAACAAAGTTGAAAAAAAATGAGGAAGAAGAAGAAAACAAAAACGTGACGGACGTATAAGGCGAAAAAATATAGATCTGAACAAAATTAAAGAAAAAAGTATTAGGAAGAAACAAGTGAAAACACGGCCTACACTGCCTCACAGCACCCTACAGTTATTCATTAAAGGCCTTTTCAAAATAAATTTTTATATATAAAGTAATCGAAAAAGTGATCCAATCCGAACCATTTCAATAACACAAGAAAACAAGGCGAACCGACAGACAGACAAATTTAGATCGATTTAGAAAATGATAGTGGATCGGTCGGTATAACAAAATGTGGGTCTAACTAAAGTCATTTTTAGTGTTGCATAAATTCACACAAATTTAATATATCCTTGTAGGGTGCAATAAATAAATAGAAAGTTGTAACCAAAACGAACCTTCAACTTTATTCAGTTCCGAACAAAGAACATGATGTTCACACTAAACCTTTTTCACTGGAAGGACTGGGAAAAGAAAAAGTCATATCTGTGTATAAATTTTACACAGACAGTTTTATGTTTCCTCAAAGTTATATAAATATGAAAATTAATGAATATTTTGCAATTTCGCTATCAAAGAAAGTGAAAAGTTTACCAGCCCAGGCAAGTTGGCAGTCGAAATTTGTATACCCTACAACATTTACTGTACCGGGTATATTAAGTTTGTGCGTCACACCCCGAAAGATTTGGGATAGTACCATCAGAATTATTTTCTGAAAGTGGTTCTGAATCTATACACACTCGTATCGCCGTCTGACGTCTGTCCATGTATTTTTGTCGCAATTTTTGAGATATTTTGATTAAATTCGATAAACTGACGTGCTTTTTGCCCAAGAACGAATGTGTGTTGAAAGTGTTTCGAATCGGACCACATTGTCGATCACTTCCAATATGAGACCTAACTTTGAAAACTTCTTGTTAAGGGGAGTGGTGTCGTACTGGACCGTGTCCCTCTATATTGTGTCTTTACTTATTTTTACGTTTTTTACAATATTTTTAAGTTTTTGCGATTCTACGAATTAAAGATCGGATTCCTGTACCCTACCCATCAGTCTGGCCCAGAGCAGCTACTATTGCAAATACCAAAAGAATGCAAAAAGTTCTTACTTGTTTCTTTTGAGTTATGTTCTTTTTGAACACTACACCATGACATCACTTGTTAATGAATTAAATATCCTAAGTGTGGATAGAGAAACTTCGGAGCTTTGCAAGCCGCTTGGATTGTTGGTGAAAAACTTGATTGAAAGAATTTTCATTAGCGATTCGTTAGTGAAACACAATGAAAACGTCTTACGTTTGACGGTAGTCACTAATGGCGAAGAGAAATGAATAAGACACGAAATTGTCATTCGAAAAAAATCAAGGTCAAAGAAACGCAAACGAGTTTAAAGCGAAGGTTAACGCCTAATAGTGTCATGCCGCATGGATGATGGATTCGGAAATTTCGAGATTCGCAAGCCTGATTAAACTTTCGATATCAACGTTTACTATCACCAGCAAGCGATCGAACAAACCCCTCTCCTAAGTGATCAATAGAAAGGGATTTCTATTGTAATTACGACAAACGTATGTTTTCAGGCCATTTTCGATAAAGTGCTTCATCCTGAATTTTGTTTGTTTTTTGAATCTTCTTAGGCTGAGCACTAGGGCGATATTAATGAACCAAAGCCATTGATATAAAACTGAATCATGATGTTGCGTGTTATTGCTAAGCAAGCATAAAAAATTATTTTGGAAAGATATTAAATTCAATTTCGAATTATGCTGAGCTGTGTGGATGATAGATATCGAAAGCAACATTTCTTTTTATCTAATTTGTTTGCAACATTCTTTTTATCTATCTCAAGGTTGAAAGGGAATTCAATATTTAAAATCCCCATTGCCTAAAAATTCACAAATGACGTAGCTACAAAATTAATCGACCTTTTGCTAAATAAAAATTTCGTTTCTTCTCCTCTACGCCAGCTTTCAATCAAATTAGTTGCGATTAATTGTATAGAATTATATTTTTTTTCTTTCCTCTCTTTTAATGATTACTTCTTATAATCATAGCTTGCAACATCTCATCATTGAAATTTCTTTTTGAGTAATACGTGTTATTTAATTGAAGCAAATTACAATAAAAATATATATATATATGTATATATATATATCTTATTATTATTCACAGACAGCATAGCTGAAAGCTATTTCTTCAAAATATTTTCTTTTATTTTTACTATGAAGAGAAATTGAAGAAAAAAGTGCAAAAAAAGAGGTTTACAAATAAGGAAGAGAGAGAGAGAGAGAGCGAGAGAGAGAAAAGTGAATTGATTGCGAGAAGCATAGAAGAAAACTCAATTAATTTAAAGGTATTTTTCAGTAAATTTTCATGAAAAATTGATTTAAAAAAAAAAAGAAGTTTCATCGTCGATTGATTCGAATGCAGTACACGTATTGTAATTATACGTCAAATAATTGTCAACAATACGTCAATAGCAACAGTCTAACGAGGCTCATTAAAATATATGGTTACTAACTTAACCATAAGGAATGAATTTTGGGCTATTTTCACATTGCGTGCACAGTAGTCAAGGGCATAGAACGCATACGTCTTCCTCCGCGGAGACAAAAAAACAACTAAAAACACTACAGTTGCGCATAACCTAGCATTAGATATCTTACAGCATCGTAGAGTTATTTATGCAAGGACTTTTCAAAATAGGTCGTTATATGGCAAGGGGACGAAAATGTGGTCCCATCCTAAACATTTTCAAGGGGGTTCGTTCTTGGAATAAAAATCATCGGCTTATACCATTTCATCAAAACATCTCAAAAATTACGAAATGAAGATTCAACGTAAGAAAAGAGGACAAACAGACGTACAGACAGAGAAGCTGAGATCATTTCAGAAAGCGATTCTGAATTGATCGATATAATAAGAAGTGGATCTGTCTTAAGACCTTCCAAGTGTTACGCATGTTCGCGCAACTTTAACTTGCCTTTATGCCGCAAGTTAGGCAGGATATAATTACTTTAAGGGTTTTTAAAAATAGAACACTTTAACTGACTTAAATTCTCCAAATATTAAAAAGAAATTTTTTCATTATTATCTAATCAATTGTGGATGGTGTATTTATGCACGTCCGCATTCAAGCATCTACATATGTATTTATGTATGCAGATGTAGCAAAATATATTTGCAAATATAAAGCCAAAGCACGTGTCATGCACAAACTAACCAAACCATGAGTCACCAAGTGCTCACATAATGACCAGAGTCAACCGGATTTTGTTGAAATTTTGCACGACAACAACAGCGACAAAAGAGGAAAACATATCTATATAAAGCAGTATTTGCTTAACGATAAAAGCAACAACCTGGTGAAATATTATCTCGAAAAAATAAACAAACATGCCCTGTTGCTGTTGTTTTTCCTTTTTTCTTTTTCCTTACTATTACTCTTTCTTCCTATCCTTCAACTTTATATTTTTGCTTATTCATGTTCTTTTGTTGTTTAGCTGCACTACATGGTGCATAATTTATTTTCATTTCATGTAAATGGGTTACAAAAAAAAAAAAAATAAAAAAAAAAATAAAACTTATATACTCTACATTGTAAACGTATGCACATATGTTTGTAACAATATATAAAGTATATGTTAATTCGTACGTAACATTTGGACATAATCTCAAGAGACACTTCATGCTTGCTTGCATGGTGAATGAAGTAATATTTTAAACATTAACTTTTTTACCCCCATTAGAGTTTTCTCTTTTTCGTTCCTCGCTCTCTCTCTCTCTCTCTCGCTCTCTCTCGTTCTCTCTCTTTCTCTCTCTGGCTGCCTTTTCGATACAACACATTTACAAATGCAAGTTTATATTTGTACATGTATATGCCGCCACATGGTGACATGCACTTGTGCTTAGTTCACTAAGGGTTAAATTTTTGTTTCCAATAAACATTAATTTGCAGGTGAATAGGTGCCGTGCTCTTTAGCAACGTTTTAAGGTTTTAAATATAATAACTTACAGCAGACAAACACTTATCACTAGTTTGTCCTCTAACTTTATATAATAAAGTTTTTGTGATTTATTTCAGTATTTATAATAATAATTCATGTAAATACGGAAGTATAGGCGTATAAGTAATATTAAACCTTATTAAGATCGGCAAGAAAGTCAAAATAATAGCATTAAGCTTTAGCTGGCAATACATCTATAAAGAGAGAGAGAGAGAGAGAGTAATGGGGGAAAAAGAGAGAGAGAGAGAGAGAGGGCTCAGTTATTCAGATTTACATTATCTTTAAATTAAATTCACTTAGAGCTTAGAACAATTTGTCCCTTAAACCAGCAAGATGTCCGCCTAAGAAATAATGATTACGGAGTTTAAAAAAACCTAAGGTTGCAAACCTATACTTGCAATCAATTTTCGAAGGGAGATAATGTGCCGAACAAAATGTTTGATTCGTTTTGGTTCCACACTTAACTTCTAAGCATTCTTTTCGAGATTTTACGCAAATGTTCCAAACCTTTGAAATGTGTGCTCATAGCCGGAGCCTTGCTAAATATTTACTCGATTTTATTACCAATTTTCGTTGTTTATCATATTTTTTCCAAAAATTCAATTCCAGGCTATAAATTGCTGAGGAGCATTTAAAGATTCAGACATCTATCTCAATTCTTTTCGCCACAGGAGCGCATCGTCTACTAAGACACTTTATTATGAAACAGTGAAAAACTCGCACAGTCCGAGCATATCGTATGAAACGCTTCAACGCAGTAAATATGATGAAGAAAAAAACTCTTCTAATCTAACTTTATTGCACTTTTTTAATTCACAATACATTCACTTAATATTAAACTCTTAAGCAGAGAGATAAAATTATTTCTGTGATTATCACTTAATAATTGCCTCATTCGCACTGTAGGAGTGAAAATTAAATTACAATACTTTGGCGTTTTCCAAAACCCAATCACCTAGACCGGCCACATCGCTATAGACGCCGGGAAAACCCCTTTGAGCACATCCTTCTCCCCAAGAAACGATGCCGACCAATTTGCCTTCGCCGACCAAAGGACCACCGGAGTCGCCTCGGCAAGAGTCCTCATATTCGGCATAAGCACATACCATTGTTTCTTTAATAGCATCGCCATAGAAATAAGTTTCCGAAGCGCAGTCTTTGCGTTCCAGAAAGCGCAATTCGACTTCCATTAGAACACGGGAAGCGTTACAATTCGCGAAACATGTAGCACCCCAACCGGACACCACCACAGGAGTACCCGTCTTTGGTGTTTCCTTTGCCAATTCAATATAACGCACCATCGATGATTGCTTAACAGATTGATTCAATTTTATAACCGCTATATCGTACTCAATTGAGGCAAAGTTGAATTTTTCGTGGCACTTAAAAGTTTTGACACCCGCTAATATGCCAGCTTCATCGTAATATGTAGAGCCAAGGCGCACTTGCAAGTCAGAAGGTTCAACACCTTTCACGCAATGAGCGGCTGTTACCACAATATCTTCACTGATAATGCTACCACCACAGTAGTGCCTTCCCCCGACAGTCCTCTGCAGTGATACTTGATAAGGACGGGCTTCTATTGTAGTCTGCGTACCGTTAACAATACGCCCGACTTCATGTATATTTGCCAAAGGCACCGCAAAAACCGCATTCAAAGAGACAAGAACAAGAAAATAACGATACATTGCGGTAAATAGATCGTGAATACTGTGACAATTGTGTGTTGTTTCGTATTTATACCAATTTGAAGGTAAAGTTTGAAATATTATCCGCAACTGATAGTTCTTGTAACGTGATAAACAAAACGATCACAATTGTTAATCATTTCGTTTAACAGACAGATTTTCGTTTTTGTTAGTGATAAACTGATCGATTAAGCGTTTATCAAAATTTACAATGTATTTGACAATTTCTGCTTGTCTTAAAATATGTGCGATAAAAACTATTAATCAGAGATTATGCTTAACAAAATCTAAAAAGCGGTAAAAATTCATTCTCAAAACTCTGAACAAAAGTAAAACATTTTTTAATGGTTTTTGCTTTTTTTTTTTTGAATGGGCGAACTACACGGTGTCGTTTTATTGTGATATAATCGCAATGATGATGATGATGATGATGACATCTGCCTTCACTGTTCGTTGAACGAGAATTATGAAATGAACTTATAGTTATCCAAGAAGAAAATTGTATACGGCTTCGCCCGAATGTTTTACGCTCGCCCTTTGCCTCTTAGTAAAGACCATAGAAAAAAGCTGAGCTATACCATTGTATGGGCGTGACCATTTTTATATGAGTACACCCATAGCATATACTTTGCAATTTTTATTACGGTTTATCGTGCTGTTTGTGAGAAACGAGCAAATAAGCCCGGAAAGCCAAGTAGTTCTCTGCATAGGCGATGCTGTTAGTGTATCCGATCAATATAAACTTGCATGTAAAGACTTTCAATATTTCTCCTAAAGTTGCAAACGCAATCCTAATATGTACGTATGGAAGAATGTTTACCACACGTAGATAAAAGACGTAAGGATGGAGAGAGGCACGGATAGACATATCTAAGCCGATTCAGAATTTAATATTATGCAATTTATAAGATCTCTGCCCCTTTCTCTTGAGTGTAACGCAAGTTCTACTGCCCCCAACATCAGGTAGTTGGCATAAGAATATCTTCGGAATTCTTTATATTCTGTCCCATATTCAGTTCCCAAGTAAGGGCAGTACACTTTTTGTCGGCGATTCATCGGAATTATTAATTTAACGAAAGAATTGGGAAATTAAATCGTGAATGCTTTCGCAATTGCCTATTGATTAGCAGTTATACTAATTTCAAGTAATTGCTTGAAACATTATCTTGAACGATTCTTATCGTAATCATTGTTTGTTTTCTTTTTTTTAGTTTTTTAATTTTTAATCATAGACTTTATTCGTATGTAATGATTTATTATTCGATTAATGAAATTCATGAAATCTTTATGAAATATTTGACATTTGCTGGTTATCTTAAGAAATTATTTTTAACGAAAATGTAAACACTTGTACCCGCGCATTAGATGTTGATTCTAAAGAAAAATAAAAAAAAAAAAAAATCTATTTTAAAATATTTTTTTTATTAATATCTTCTTGATCAGTAATAAATTCTCAATCAGTCTAGGTATGTCCATGCGTCCGTCTGTAAATGAAAATATATGCTTTAAATTAAGGAAAACAAAAATCGCGCTTACAATATTGTCAAAAGTATCGAATGCTTGTAGTGCCTAGAAGGACCCGTCAGAGACCCCATGTTGAATTGGCCAGCAAAAGTGTTTCACAAACGGAAATCATTTGACATATGAAAGAAAAATGGCAGGTTAGACTTCCCACTATTCAAACTTCACACTTGATGATTACATAAAAGTTAAGTTATCAAGTGTACTGCCCTTAACACACATAATCAATATCACAGTCTGAATCTATTTAGATATCTTTGTCGTTCTGTGCTTCTTTCTGTGGTTACGGTTCCCCTTCTTGCATTTCAAGGCATTTAGACATTAACTACTTCGTAAATATCACATGCTAACTAAGTTTCATAATAAAGTCATTACCCACTTGAGCGTCATCGCGCCCTAGACTGTATTGTGCTTAAAATATGTGCCATAAAATATGTTTATCACAACAATTTTGCTATCCTAAAAAATATGCCAGGCGAGCAGAACGGATGATGATTAGAAAGCGATGTAGATTATCGTATTAATTGAGCATAAAATAATATTTCATGTTATACCCTGCCCGTCTGTTTGGTGCTTGCCATCATCAGTCATGCGTGCAATAATGTTAAGCACACTTAGCGGTGCGCAAAACTTGCTTTCCATGCACTGATCGAAGAAAATAAAATATGCCCCATTCAGTTCAGTTGGATGAGTTGTAGATGTCGCCACTTCTTAAAGGAAATGTGTCAGAACTTTATGAAATTCTGGTCACTGCCTTACAAGGTGCAGTTGTTTTGTCCTGCGTTGAGGCAGCACTGCTTTCAATGATATGTCGAGTCTGGTTTGGATATCGCTCCATTACAACGAAATGGTAGACAAGTGGTTCGTCACTTTTAAATACGCACGTACAAATACATGGCTGAATGCAATATGAAAGAACACATAAGTTTAAATACCAAATATAATACATAATTGTACATAATATACAAAATTTGAATAATAAATGATAGAAAAAAAAAAAAAAAATGTGTAAAAGATAAGTGGCAAGCGGTGATGGATAATGATGGAAAAATAAAAAACAGATACTACGTTAGGTGTAGGTGTTACCTATTAGGTACTATATATTACACATTTGATACTAGATACTAGCTTGCAGATATTAGGCATCACATACTTGATGTTAAATATTCAACACCGGAAACTAGCTGCTGAATATCAGATACTCGATACTGAATATAAGATACTACATATTAGTTACTAGATGCTAGATATGAAATACTGGATACGATATGCTACATACCAGATCTTAGACACTTGACCCCAGTTTCGTGATCCTAGATGGCTGATACCTAATTCCCCCTAAAAGACCAGGTATTAGACACTACATATTACAAATCAATTCAATATCCTAGATGTTACTTATCAGATACTAGACACCACATAGTTGATACTGGATGCAACATTCAAAATTCCAAGTTCTAGGCACAAGACAACTGACTTTAGACATTAAACATTAAGTACCGGATAACAGATAAGAGTTTTTTAGGCATGAAATACAACTTACAGCCGAATAAGGTTGTTACGTAAAAATAAAGCTTATCTACTTATTACGAATGCAGTCTTATAAACTACAACAAAAAAAGAAAGGAAAAGCATGTACAAAGCCAGCATAGGGATACACTCCCAACTCGGGATAAAGACCCGAATTGGGACTCAAGCCCTAAACCATGGAGAACATGCGGAAGCTTGGCAACCGATTATGATGAAGATATCTATAAGTCATATAACGCTTAACAGTCAAACTTTAAAGAGGATATAGGGTGGAGCACACATGTTATAGAGAGCGACTTGGACAGAGTTTAAAGAGTCGTATATTGAAATTCAGTTATAGATATCTTTAAGATTTTTGCAAACGTACCTAAATGCGTTGAAAGGCTCATAGTTGTAGTAGATAAAATATCAAATACCAGATAACTCTACTCTATTCTAGATACTAGATACTGAATGTTAGATTCGAAGAACTACGTGTTAGATATTAGATAATATTAGCTATTAGATATTTAGCACTGGATATCAGATTCCAGAGTCTAAATTCTAATTACTGGGTACTAGATACCTAGCATTACATGCTAGATACAAGATTTTAGAGTCTAGATAGTAGAAATTAAGTACCTTATGTTATACTAAACACTAGATACCGCATAGAAGGTAATAGAGGTCAAATACCAGATACTAGATGCTAGATGATAGATGCTAGATACTGCTAGCTGCTAGGATTGAGATATAAAACCGAAAATACAACGTATTCGATGCTAGATACTAGACATTAGCTATCAAATGTTAAACACTTTATACTAGGTTACAGATTCTAACAGGTCTGGATATTGGGCATTAGATATCTTATACCAGGTTCCAAAGACTACTACTCGGTAATAGATGACTAGATATACGATTTTTTTGTACACCTATAGTAGATTCTGGAAAAAAGATGTTAGATAATAGATAATAAATTTTTGATAATAAATCGGCTAAGAGCTTCAATGCTTCTACCAAACAAAGTGAATCGCAAGTAATCAGCAGTCAACGGTTGAATATCATAATATATCTTGACTCGCTTACCACAGCGGATAAAAGCAAACTGTAATAGCAAAAGTACATGAGACATAATAGTAAGCAATGTATAAATAACTTGTAGACTCGTTCGTTCAGTTAAAAGAAACATCTTTTATTTGACCAATAATTTTTGCTTGACAATTTTGTCCATCACATATTTTCGGAGAATAAAAAGAAGAATTTTAAAAAACAATGAAAGAACATTAAATCACTCTCTATCACAGTCTCAGCCACCATTGCACGTCCAAATATGTTGGCAAATTAATTAAAACTGTCAATCACAACAATAACAACAGTATCGTTTATATCAATTGCAACAACTGCTGGAGAAAAAAAAAAAAAATTGGTTGTGGTTGAAGACTAAAATTGCATCGCATTGAAAACAGTTGTCGTTTCGTTGCCTTTTTTAACCTTATAGAGATGCACTGTTTGTTTTGCTACATTTATACATGTCGCACATATTGGAAAGCCTTGACACATGATTCTTACGCAATGGTAACTTGGATCAACAATCTTCTTCTTCTTTTTTTTTTGCTCATAAACAAACACGACACCATTGATTTGATTGTAAACACTTTCTTGATGAGAACCTTGATATCGATTTTCAATTGATTGATGATTGATGGTTGGATTAAACAGAAAAGACAATACAGTTAAGTCCAAGTCCTTAACGTAAAACGTCCATGTGAATTATACGGAAGATATTAAGTTTTCGAGGATCGTTTGTCTAAAATGTAACAAATAAAGTACAACTAATGGATATACCGCATTAGGGATTACAACGAACTTAGGCAATAATATGTTTTTAACTGACCTACAGGAACTTCCTTAAGCCACTGCTGACTGAAATGATCTTGTGACAGTTAACACCCGGATAAAACTTTCGGACAGACCTGGTGGTC